TAGGAGTTCAAGGTCATCTTCAGATACAAATCAAGTTCAGGGGCTGTCTAAAAAACAAACGAAAGAGTTCAATGCTTTGAAATGTAAATAATAACATACTTTTCTCTTTCATTATCATCTGAAGCCAACCTCTTAATTTAGATTGTACACTGGACTCAGCTGGAGAACTTGTTTAAAATGCAGATTCCCAGTTGGCAAGATGGCTCAGCCCAGAAGAGTGCTTGCAGCCAAGACTGAGTTGGATGCCTGCGACCAACACGATGGAAGGAGAGACCTAACTCCCAAAAGTTGTCCTCTGACCTCTACATGTGTATTGTGGTACTCAAGCATGCACACACACAAACCAATAAATAAACGTAATTGAAAAAAGTAAATGCAGATTATGACTCAGGGGCTTTGGGGTGGAACTTGAGAGTCTTGCATCTCTAACAAACCTCTGTATGGTGTGCATGCTAAAGGGTCTCCATGTAAGAGTCCATGTTCTAGGAGGAGACGGACATATAAACAATTCACTGAAGCTGAGGAGCCCTTGGAGAAAAGACTATGCCTTCTAGAACCCTGGGAGCTTAGACTATGTAGTACGTAGTTCCATCAAGAACTCATTCATGGGACTGCAGAGGTGGCTCACCAGTTCAGAGAACTGGCTATTCTTCCAGAGGACCTGGCTTTGAACCCCAGCACCCACATGGTGGTTACAACCGTCTATAACTCAAGTCTCAAGGGACCCTATACCCTCTTCTGGCTGCCAGCGGTATCAGACATGCATGTGTTACCCAGATAAACATGCAGTCAAAACATCCATACACATAAAAACAAAAAAATAAAAACAAATTACTCAGCTCAGCATTACACTATGTTCTCAGAATGCAGGGGCCCTGGTTTTTAAAACAAATTCATTGAACAGGTGGGGATGGAGTGAAAAGGTAGGGGTAGGGTCAGAGCCTCACCTGGCTGGTCTCCACAGGCTGCAGTCCGTGAAGCAGAGCACAGCTCAGGGATCCCAGCTCTCCCCCAGGCTGTGCTGAATTCTCACCTTGTGACTCTTTTTCTGTTGTTTCTGATCTGTTCTGTACTATCTCATTGGCCTGATATGGCTTTGGTGATGCTGGACTGATGTATCCCAGCCTTTCCCTGCCTTACGTTGTCCTTGTCCCTCTGAAGCGATCAGAGGTTATGTGTCAGAGTCCCCAGAGCTTTAGCAATCAGGTCTGCCTGGTGTCAGGGAAGAGGTGTTGACTGTCTTCCTTCCTGTCCCTGGAGTGGCACTACTATATGTCCTCTGCCTCCCTGTCAGCTGTGTTCATCTACCTCTTTCTTCCTCTTGGCTTCTGCCCTATTTATTCTGTGACTGGCCCAGGGGAGGAGAGTGGGCTGGCAGGCACCCTATGCAGAGCCTGGAGACAGCAGCCAGACCCACTGGGCCCACCCCAGGGTCTCCTGCCTACTGCCCTCTGCCAAGTCTGGTCCTCTTCTACCTGCCTGGCAGAGGTCAGGTCCTCTGTGATGCTCCTGTTGCTATGGTGATCCTAGATGAGAAGGCTATAATGTTCTGGGTCTGGAACTTTCACCCGTTAGCCCAGCTGTGCTCTACCTGCTCTCTGACATGGTTCTCTACCAGGGGGCTCGAGAGCATGGGCTCTGCTACCATCAAAGTCTTCTCTGCATACCCCTCATCCTTCAGACCTCCCTTCAACCCCAACAGAGACCCTAACAGGTAAGTCTCAGGTCCTGGATAGCCCCCTTCCAGAGCAGAGGTCATGGTTGGGGGTAGAAAGGGCCCAGGATCCAAAGTCAGAAGATTTAGAGTCCCAGGTCCTAGTCTTAGATCATTGATAGTGATGTGACCTCGGGCAAAAGGTCTGCCTTGAGCTCCAGTGTCCCCTGAGTGTGTTATACTCAACTGTCCCCCAGTAATGCCTCTATGACTTGCCATGGGCTGTTCTTTTGCACCTACATCTCAGTTCTGTGAGCTCCTATTCCTGTTTCAAGCCCCAACTCCAATGCTCCCCCTCTGTAAGTTTCCCTGGTCCCTTAGACATTGTTGCTTTCACTTTCTGCAGGAGGTTTTAAAATATTTCTCGCCGGGCGGTGGTGGCACACGCCTTTAATCCCAGCACTTGGGAGGCAGAGCCAGGCGGATCTCTGTGAGTTCGAGGCCAGCCTGGGCTACCAAGTGAGTTCCAGGAAAGGCGCAAAGCTACACAGAGAAACCCTGTCTCGAAAAACCAAAAAAAAAAAAAAAAAAAAAAAAATTTCTCTAATTGTCACTCAACTCTGACTTCTTAGAGGCAGGAGTTAGAATGGATTCTATGCTGGCATCAGAGATGTTCTGTTGAATAACTTCTTTGTGGCATGGAAAATAAAAAAAGAATGGTCTTGGCTGAGTTGTGCACTCTCCTTACAGGGGTCATTCTGGGGTCCTGCATCCTCCCTGGTATGTCTTCGGCTTTACTGTTTACCTGAGGTCTGCTTGGTTGGCTGGAAACGTTTTCGTGTCTGAGATCTGTGGGAGACCATGTCTTATGTTGGAGTGTGCCTAGAGTGGAGTGGGTCCAGGAGCAGCTTGTTCACAGAGTGTCTCTGGAGACATCTTGGCACGTCTGGGGTGGGCAGGGAGCAGCACCATGAAGAGGTCTATAGGGATTGCCGGGCTAACGGTGAGGAGCATGGGTTTCATGGAAAAGGGAAGAAGGGATCCAGCACCTCCCAGCTCTTTCAAAGGATTCTATAGCTACTGGTAATGCTCGGGAGACAATAGAGCCTTCTAAAGGCAGCTCCGATCTTCACTGACACCTGGACATCTGGACCAGGCAGGCTTCCCCAGTGAGAACCAAGTCAATGGTTCCCTCTAGTGGCCAACATAAGGGATGCAGGAATCCATCAAAGTCAGGGTTTGCTTTTTTTTTTTTTTTTAATCTAAAACAGAATGCTAGCATCACTGTGACCGGAACTTGTTCAACTTTAATTTAAATATATATGTATTTATTAGGCTGTGGCTATTTCTCAGTGGGAGGAGTGCTTGCCTAATATGCATGAAGTCTTGCACTGGATCCCTAGCACTGTATAAACTAGGTATGGTGGTTCACACCTGTAATCTTAGCTCCCAGGAAGTAGAAGCAGGAGCATTAGAAGTTCAAGGTCCTCCTGAGAAACACAAAAAATTCATAGTTATCCTGGGCTCCATGAGAACATGCCTCAAATAAAACATGTTGATGGTGGGGGTGTGCATATGTATGTGCACAGACATGCATGTGGAGACCATGGTCATTGTTGGTTGTCTGTCTCATGGCTCTCCACTTTATTTATTTGTTTGATACAGGGTCTCACTGTGTATCTCTGGCTGGCCTGACATTCACTATGTAGATCAGGCTGGCCTTGAACTCACAGAGATCTGCCTGCCTCTGCTTCCCAAGGGATGCAATTAGAGACATATGCCACCACACCTAACCACCACCTTATTTTTTTGAGACAGGGTCTCTTCACTGAACCTGGAGCCCACACTGACCAGAACAGCTGGCCAGTGAGTTCCAGGTATCCTACTGTCTGTCCCACTCAGCACCAGGGTCATAGAGGCATGTCATACCCCGCTTTTTACATGGGTAGGTGCTGCGGATCCAAACTCATACCCTCATGTGGACATGGCAAACATCTGTGTGTGTGTGTGTGTGTGTGTGTGTGTGTGTGTGTGTGTGTGTGTGTAAAACCACCTGTAGGTGGTAAGCTCTCCTCTGAGTGTCAGTGTGTGTTGGGGCAGAGAGGGAAAGCAAAGTAAGAATCCACAGCGATTCTCAGCCCAGGCTGTACATTACAAGTGCAAAGTAGCACTTGGGCCAGGAGAGTCTGCACCTGTCCGATGGGACCCAGGCACCGTGCTTTGCAGATCTCCCCCGGGGCTGACTTGTCTGTCATCCCTCACTCTCATCCTGCAGCAGAGCAACACTTATTCTCACCCCCCTTTCAGATGAACAGACTGAGGCCCACATCAGTCCTGTCCCGTCTCTGTCTAACTAAGGACAGGGACAGGGTGGCAGGGAGGGCTGGCTGCTTTTCCTCCAAGGTTGTGGCGGGTCTCAGCAGACTCTCGGGATAACACCAGCTTTATTGTTCGCTGTGATTAGAAAAGTAGTCAAGGTCATGGTGAAGTAGCTATTCCCCCCCTTTCTGGACTTACACAGAGTCCAGAATCACCTGCGAGCTCAGCCTCCTTAGGGAGTGAAGAGGTGGGAGGAGGGAGAGCCCAGGCAGGGAGGAGGAGGCTGGCTTCATTCTAAGGCTCAGGGTCAAACTGTAAATTGGGGCTTCCGGAAGTGTGGTTCCCAAGACCACCCAAATCTCCCAGGCTCCTGCAGCACTTGATAAAAATGCAACGTCTCCAAGGACGCAGCACCAGACTCCCGAGAGAGAGCCGGAGAAGCTGCATGTTTGGTAAATGTCCTGGCAACTGTCTCACTCAGTGAAGACTGAGAACCAGTGCTCCCCGGAGTCTGTGCTCTTCCTGCACGACGACGAGCTTGTCGGTCAACTCCCATCTTATCCAGGTGCTCAGGAGAGCCTTCAGAAAAGACTGGTGTGCTAAGGTCTGCCCAGCTGTTGAGATGCCACCCAGCTGCCCCTGGGGGCACGGGGGTTTGCCTTTCCCTCTCTCAGGCTGTCTGGGATTAGATCGCTGGAACAGCAGGCCTTTAGTTTTCTCCCACACCTGGCCTTCCTGTCCTCTTCTCTTTCTCTACCTCTGAGGTACCTACTAGTAGGCCCTGCCAACCAATCACAGCCACCACAACCTATGATGTCACCAGCAGCCAATCAGGGCTTCTCACCAGTATATATGCAGATTGCTGTTACTTACTATGCTGATGAAATTCCAAAGCAACATAACCTTCCGAGACAAGGATGCTGAGGCCCAGTGAGGGCTAGCAATAGGTCACTAGAAGCCAGTGACGTATAGCAGTGGGCTATAGTTCTTTCTGGAGGGGCTCCCAGAGGCCTGGACAAGACTCCTTTTCCTGGGGTCCTGGTACCTTAGATGAGGCTCAATCCTGCCCCCAACTTGAGTGGGGACACAGTGGTGGCAGCACAGATTTCTCTATTCTAAAGTTTAGAGCCATGGAAGAGGGAGTGTGAACCCCAGTTCCAGTCCTGTTCTTAGCTCAACATCCCCAGGAAGGAATTAGAGGAACATTGCCCGGGCGGTGCTGGTTGCTGCTCTTGAGCAGATTACAAGAGGGGCCGAGACAAGGACTCCTTTGTGGAAGCTTTGGCTTAGAAAGTCAGGTGACAACTCAGCACATACGTAGGTGGGCAGTGCCAGCCGCCAAGTATGGACAGGGGTACTCGCCCCAGGGTCTCAGAGAGTCCCAGCAACCCAGTGACCAGAACTTTTATGAGGTTGCCTGAACTGCCGGAACCCTACCTGTGAGTAGGGGTTGCCCCAGGTGGACAGCGCCGGGGCTTTGCGGGCCTTTAGGGGTGGATGACTGCTCTTGTGTATTCGGAGGTGTGATGGGCACATACTGGCAGCCCATGTGGGGGAGGTGGACTCTGGATGGTGGAAAGGGGGTAGTCAGTCATGGCTTTAATCAGTTTGTATTGAGCATCTGCTCCAAGAACACACTAAGAGTTTCCAGTGGGAGAGAGAACGAACAGCAGGCAGGAGTATCTTGTGTCATATGACTCCACGTAGCGACGACATACACCATGTAGAAGGATCGAGCACACTGGGAAGGCACCACTGGTGACAACCGAGGCATTATTTCCAGTAGGATGGCTGGGGACATTTTTCCTAGGAGATGTTCTAAAATGGAAGTGAGCCATGGGGTTACCTCAGGAAAAGCATCCTTCCCCTGAGGTGGCTACATCAGTAGGTGGAAAGGCCCTGGGGTGGCCATTCAGTCACCATTAGTAGGGCGTTCCCTCCTGCCAGGCTAAGTGCTGGGGATGGGGCCATGGCCGTGAACAGGGCTAGCCTGAGTCTCTGAGCTGCTCACTCCAGTGTAGTTGAGGAAGCTGGGGAACTGGGCTGAGAACTCACGCCTCCTGGCTCTGAGACCCTGAGCTCTGTGTGAATGTTGCTGCTGCCCTGCAGCCGCCTTCATCATTATACAAAACCAAGGGCACATGGCAATTCCCAGACCTGCCCAATGTCTTCTTGTGTTCCTACCCAATCCTTCTGTGTCCCAGGCTAGAAAAATGGAGGCCCCGGCTAGGGCAGCACTAAACTCCTATGAGTCTGTCCCAGACCAGAACTTAGTCTTTGATTCTTTCCTTCCCCTCTCCACGTCACCCTCTGCCTGCTGACCAGGACCCGAGCCCACCTACTGCTGCACAGTGCCAAGACATGACTGTCACCTACACAAACAAAGTAGCCAATGCCCGTCTCGGTTCCTTCTCCTGCCTGCTCCTGTGCTGGCGTGGCAGCATCTACAAGCTGCTGTGTGGGGAATTCCTCATCTTCATGTTCCTCTACTACGCCATCCGTGGAGTCTATAGGTAAGAGATTTGGGAAGAAGGGGCGGAGCATCTGGGGGTGGGGTCTAGAGCTCATTGAGGCAGGGTCTCCAGGCCTGCAGGTGGAGTGGAAATGGGATGAGAGCATCAAGGAGTTGGGGAGGAGTGGGTCCAATGTTCCAGCTAGCTTCTAAGACTGAGCTGAACTCTTGGGCAGGCCCTGGCCACTAGAGTGAGGCTAGGGAGAAAAAAAAAAAAGACCCAGAGTTGGGCATGTAGCTCAGAGAAATATTTGCCTGGTATGTGTGTCATTTGGGCTCGATCCCCAACACACACACACACACACACACACACACACACAAAACCTGATCTCTCTCTCACACACATATAAGAAATAAATACGCCGGGCGGTGGTGGCGCACGCCTTTAATCCCAGCACTCGGGAGGCAGAGCCAGGCGGATCTCTGTGAGTTCGAGGCCAGCCTGGTCTACAAAGTGAGTTCCAGGAAAGGCGCAAAACTACAGAGAAACCCTGTCTCGAAAAACCAAAAAAAAAAAAAAAAAAAAAAAAGACCCAGAGTTGGGCATGTAGCTCAGAGAAATATTTGCCTGGTATGTGTGTCATTTGGGCTCGATCCCCAACACACACACACACACACACACACACACACAAAACCTGATCTCTCTCTCACACACATATAAGAAATAAATACGCCGGGCGGTGGTGGCGCACGCCTTTAATCCCAGCACTCGGGAGGCAGAGCCAGGCAGATCTCTGTGAGTTCAAGGCCAGCCTGGTCTACAAAGTGAGTTCCAGGAAAGGTGCAAAGCTACACACAGAAACCCTGTCTCGAAAAACCAAAAAAATAAATAAAATACATAAATACATAAATAAAAAATTTAAAAGCAATCATGTCTACTATGTATTGAAAAATATCAAATACTTGAAGTTTGTTCTAATAACAGTACACTGTTATTTGGTACTTTAAAAATTAGAATTTTAATTAATTGTCTTTAATTTTTTTAGATTTTTTAAATTTTATTTCACATGTATGAGTGTTTTGCCTTCATTTATGTCTGTGCACCATGTATGTGCCTGGTGCTTGTGGAGGTCAGAAGAGGACATTGAATCCTCTGGACCTGGAGTTACAGATAACTGTGAGTTGCCATGCGGGTGCTGGGAACCAAACTCAGGTCCTCTGCAGGAGCAACAAGTTCTCTCAACCAGGGAGCCATTTCTTCGGCCCCAGTTAATTAATTCTTTGAGATAAGGTCTTGCTATATAGCCCTGACTATCCTAGAACCCTTATGTAGACAAGGTCACCTCAAACTTGCAGTGGGGTGCTTCACTTGCCCTCTGCCTCCCAAGTGCTAGGATCACAGACAGGAGCCACCATACCAAGTTAGAACTTACTTGATTTATAATTTATTTTTGAGACAAGGTCTCTCTAACTTAGCCCTGGCTGTCCTGCAACTCTCTATATAGACCAGGCTGGCCTTGAACTCACAGAGATCTACCTGCCTCTGCCTCCTGAATGCTGGGATTAAAGCCTGGCTAAAAGTTTGTTTGTTTAGTTTTTCTTATAAAGGAAAACATTTAATTGGTGGCTTACAGTTTAGAGGTTCAGTCCATTATCATGGTGGGACATGATGGTATGTGTGCAGACAGACGTGCTGCTGGAGAAAGAGTTGAGAGGTCTACATCTTGCGCAAGCAACAGAAAGTGAACTCTAAAAGTTATTTTTAAAAGCATTTTGTTTGTAGGAAAATTAAGTAGACAATACAGAGATTTCTCTTCTGTGCCCATTCCACCCTCTGCTTTAGCAAAGCACAGTTGCGCACTGGTACATTTGCTGCAGTCAGTGAACTTACCTTGTGTTGCTAGAAGTCCATAGTTTTCACTAGGGTTCATTCATGGTGCCTGCATCCTATGGGTTTGGACAGATGTATCTTACATGACATGTATGTACCACTAGAATATCATCAAGAGTCACTTCATTGCCCTAAAACTCAATGCTCAGCCTGGCCATCCCTCTCCACTTTTTTTTTTTTTTTTTTTTTTTTTTTTTGTGGTGTGTGACACCATGGCTGGGTTCAATCCCATGTATGGTGCCAAGATTGAACCTATGAACTTACTTGTGCTAGGCAAGCACTATACCAGCTGAGCTATCAAGTCTTCTACCTTATACTTTTTAAAAATACCAAACACTTTGTTTCTACCTGCTTTTACGTATTTTTTAATATTTATTTATTTTTATGTGTATGAGTGCTTTACCTGTATGTATGCATGTATGTGCACCATGTGTGTGCATTGCTCAAGGAGGCCAGAAGAGGGCATCAGATCTCCTTGGAACTGGAGTTATAAATAGTTCTAAGCTGCCATGTGGGTGCTGGGAACTAAATCTGGTTCTTCTGCAAGGGCAACAAGTGTTCTTAACCACTAAGCTATCATTCTAGCCCCCCTCAACCACTTTTAAACAACTGTCCCTGGGCTTGTTTAAAAGGGTCAGTAAAGCACTTGGGTATATAATATATCTCAGTGCTGGAGTGTTTTCCTAACATAGGCGAGGGCTGGGTTCCATTACCAATGTGGCAACACACCAACCACCACCACCACCACCACCACCACCACCCACCCACCCACCCACCCACTCACCCCCCCCACACACACATACACACATTCAAAATGCTGGAAGTAACCCATTCCGAGAACCCACCTCAGCCAGAGGGGGACCCTGAGCCAGATCAGTTGAAAGGACATCACCCAGATAGCCCCGCTCTTCCCCCGGGCCGGGAGTAGGGACACATTCTTAGACACTTCCTCTCAATGCCTCACCCACTCCCAGAATGGCTCTCTCGAATGAACAGCAGCTGTTGTTTGAGAAGCTGGCTCTGTACTGCGACAGCTACATTCAGCTCATCCCTATATCCTTTGTTCTGGGTGAGCGCCCCCTTGCGGCTGTTGGGGTCCAGTGGTCGCCCCCTAGCTCCAGACACACACGGGCGGACCTCCACCAGAGGCGGGGAGTGGGGTAAGGCGGGCCAGTGGCCTTCTAAAAACGTTGAGGCTGGGCCCACATGTGTCAGGAAGTCGGAGAAACCGGCGCTTCACCCGGCGCTGGTCTCTGGCCACAGCCCGGCCCCTCGCCCCTCGTCCCTCATCCCTCCTGCCCAGGTTTCTATGTGACGTTGGTGGTGACCCGCTGGTGGAACCAGTACGAGAGCTTGCCTTGGCCGGACCGCCTTATGAGCCAGGTGTCAGGCTTCGTGGAGGGCAAGGACGAGCAAGGTCGGCTGCTGCGGCGCACACTCATCCGCTATGCCATCCTGGGCCAAGTGCTTATCCTGCGCAGCGTCAGCACCGCGGTCTTCAAGCGCTTTCCCACTCTTCTGCACTTGGTGCGAGCAGGTAGGCAGTATCTGGAGTGGGCGGGGCCGCAGGGCCGGAGCTGACCCGAGGCGGGGCCTGAGACCCGGAGTGACCGGAGCTGACGCTGGGTGGAGCCAGAGTCCTCCGGACTTGAAGAGGGTGAGGTGGGGCAGGACTGATGGGGTCAGAATTGGGACAGAATTGGGCAGGCCAGAATCAGTGCTAGAAGTGGGGCGAGGCCGGAATAAACGAAAAAGGTAGGGATTTGAGAAAGGTCAAGAACCTTTCAGGGAGAAGGGAAAAAGTTGGGGCTTGGGGACTGATGGAATTCGGATCTACCTCCTTCCTCTCTGCCTGTCCTGAACTCCGGTTTCCCGACTTGATGGCTTGACAGGGGTCCCTAGCTTTCCCTTGACTTTTTTCGGGGCCTGACTCTAGCTAATACTTACAAAGCCCTCTGCACTCCCACCTCCTGTCCCATGTGGTCCAGAACAGCGCCTAACTGGGGCTCGGTAATTTTATGTGCCGAAATAAATGATAAAAGAGCCCAGAAGTCCCTAAGTGCTCAGACAGGCTGGCTGCGTTTCCCGGTGCAGGCTGCTTCTTTTGCAGGATTACCCGATTCCTTGTCCACTCTGCCCTGCAGGCTTTATGACCAATGAGGAATATAAGCATTTGCAGAAGTTGGGCCTACCACACAACTCATTCTGGGTGCCCTGGGTGTGGTTTGCCAACCTGTCAATGAAGGCCTATGTTGGAGGTCGAATCCGGGACACTGTCTTGCTCCAGAGCATGATAAACGTGAGCCCACAGATGGGATGCAGTGGGACGTGTTGTGGCTTCCTTTAAAGAAAAGGCTGGAGGCTCTGCCCACAGCCTGTCCTGGTGGTGTATGATATTTTCGAACAAGATTCCACAGCACAAGGTGGCCCCTCTCCAAATCTCCCCTCTGTCCCCTCTCTGAGTGAGACTGTGAAGTCCTGGCTACTTTTTGCTAGATGAAGCTACTAGGGCACAGAGAGGTCTAGTGAGCTGCCTATGACCACACAGTCAAGGCCATTCCATGAACGCCATTGCATTATATCTGGGGAAGAGCTGCGGGAGATTCGGGGGAAGCAGGTGGTGGCCAGCACCTGCTCCTTCTCCCCCACCCTCCAGGAGATGTGCACCTTGCGCACTCAGTGTGGACATCTGTATGCCTACGACTGGATCAGCATCCCACTGGTGTACACACAGGTAAAGACGAGACTGGTGAGGCTGTCCTTGTGGGAAATCGGTGGCTCGGAAGATCCAGAAAGCACACTTCCCTAGGGACTGAGCACAGCTCTCGTCCTGGGAGTTAGGTCTGGACTTGGAAAGCTCTTCCTAGCACTGAGGTCAACACCTGTGCCCCTGTCGGGTCCAGCCCAGCAGAGGGGGTATGACCATCCTGGTCTTAAGAGGGGGCAAATGGGCCGGGCAGTGGTGGCGCACGCCTTTAATCCCGGCACTTGGGAGGCAGAGCCAGGCGGATCTCTGTAAGTTCGAGGCCAGCCTGGTCTACAGAGCGAGATCCAGGACAGGCACCAAAACTACCTAGAGAAACCCTGTCTCGAAAAACAAACAAACAAAAAAGAGGGGGCAAATGGAGTGGGTAAGCTCATTGGGTAGTGTTGCCACATGCATTAATCCCTCCCTGGGTTTGATCTTCGGCATCTCATGAAACTGGACATAGTGGCACACACCTGTATTTCCAGCACTAGGGATCTGGTGACCAGAGGATCAGAGGTTCAAGGTCATTCTTGGCTATATAGTGAGTGTCATGCCAGCCTGGGCTACATGAGACCCTGCCTCAAAAAATAAAAGCAAACAAAACACACACACACACACACAAAAAAAAAACAAACAAACAAACAAAAAAACCAGAAACCCAGTCACGTGAGTGTGGAGGTCAGAGCAAGGCTTTGGACTCAAAGCTTCCAACTCTAGGGTCTCTGCTTAGCCCTTTTCTGCCCCCTGTGGCTCCTCTCCTTCCAGGTGGTGACAGTGGCAGTGTACAGCTTTTTCCTCGCATGCTTGGTGGGGCGGCAGTTTTTGAACCCAGCCAAGAACTACCCAGGCCACGAGATGGACCTCGTCGTGCCTGTCTTCACAATCCTACAATTCCTATTTTACATGGGCTGGCTGAAGGTAGGCCTCACTGGATACCGCCCTGCCCTGTTCCATCGGCATGGCCAGAGGGGTCATGGCCAGCAGCCACCTGAGAGGAAGACAAAGCAGCTAAAAAAGAAGGTCACGCATATCACACATGCGTGAGCAAATACACAGAAACTATTTTGTCCAACACACGTGCGCGCGTGTGTGCACACACACGTGTGCGCACACACACACACACACACACACACACACACACACACACACCACACACACACACAGAGGGAGGGAGAGAGAGAGAGAGAGATTCTAGTCTCAATATACTTCCCCCAGTTACCTTTGTTTTCTAAAGACTTAACTAGTTTATACTACCTTTATGCTTAAAATTACCTGAGGTGCCTCACTAGCTTTCAGGATGTCCCCTGGACCCACAGAACAATCATCACCCCTGTGGAGCTTTGCTTTAGTATTTTTTTTATTTTTTTAATTTTCATTTTATCCATATGAGTGTTTTGCCTGCATGTATGTAAGTGTACTGTCCACATTCAGTGCCCCAAAGAGGTCACTGGAGCTCCTGGAACTGGAGTTACAGATGGTTGTGAGCTCCTACGTGGTTGCTGGGAATTGAACTCAGGTTCTCTGGAAGAGCAGCCAGTGCTCTTAACTGCTGAGCCATCTCTCCAGCCCTTGCTTTAGTATTTTAGATATTAGTGTCCAGGAAACTCCCCTCCTGGCCACTGTAATTCAACACAGCCTCAGCATTTATCTCTAATACCATAAAACAACAAATACGTGCATATTGGAAGATAAATAAGTGTACCAAAAAGCAATGCATCTTGAGGTGAGCTAGTTACATGGGTGAGATCAAGGTGGTGGTTTGGCTGAGTGACACAGGAAGGGACAGCTGTGGTCTTCAGAGTAGAGACCAAGAACATGGAAGCCCCATGGGGAGGGTACTGGGGCCCAATACTGTGGCCTTGAAGACAGTTGTTAGGCAGGAAAGGCATTATGAGGGAGTGGCTATGGCAGGACCCAAGGCTTAGGATGGAAACCAGAGTGTCAAGGTTCTCAGAGCCTCACCCCCTCCCCGCCCCCATCCCCAAAGGTGGCAGAGCAGCTCATCAACCCCTTCGGAGAGGATGACGATGATTTTGAGACCAACTGGATCATTGACAGAAACCTGCAGGTATGGGGGGGGTGGGGGCGGGGGCTGTGTCATGGACCCTTCTCAAACTGGATCCAAAGAGGGGACTCAGCGTTTTTCCAGGGGGACCCTGCAGTAAATTGTCTTCCCCTTCTCAAACATCAGCCCTTTTCTCAGTCAATCATTCACTCCCAGGATTCACATCTCAGCTTCGGAGGCTGCAAGTAAGCATCAGTCTCTTCAGTACCACAGGTGGGGAAACTGAGGCCCGGAGAGAGCAAACTGATGATTCCTAAGGCATCAGGCAAGCTCATGTTCCTGTCTGGGCTACTCATTCTATTGGATACCCACCTCTGTCCTTGGCAACCAGGTATCCCTGTTGTCTGTGGATGAGATGCACCAGGATTTGCCTCCCATGGAGCGTGATATGTACTGGAATGAGGCAGAGCCTCAGCCACCCTACACAGCTGCTTCTGTCCAGTATCGTCGACCTTCCTTCTTGGGCTCCACCTTCAACATCAGGTAGGCAGTGCCAGAGACCTGGCTGAGAAAAACCTCAAGTGTAAGTCTTCCCTAGCAACTTGGAACAGCTGTTGCTATTACAGGAGGCATGCCCAGTAAGGGCTAGCTAGTGGACTATGTTGTAGGAGACAGGGTCTCCTGAATAGACTGTCCTGCAGAGAAAAGGCTTCCTTCCACCCACAGTGGGCGCTCTCTCCTCTGTACAATCCCGTTTCATCTGAATTCCTCCTAGATACAGTGGGCCAAAAGGGCCATCCCACACAGTCCTCTCCGTGATAGCTGAGAAGGCTCTGGAGTATCTGATGTGCTGCTTGCACACTGTACTATCCTGTCCTCTCTGTTCGGTTATGACCCAGTCCATTGAACTGAAATTAGAATTAACTAGGAACATTTTGGAAGATGTTTTGAACCTGTTTCTTCTGTACACCAGCACTGAACCTGGGGTGGGTACCAGAGGGTAAGGGTAATAATACATAAGCCCTGCCTCCAGGGACTGTGCAAGCTAGTGAGCTGAGCAGGCTCCAACCCATGGTCAAGGACTGGGCAGGACGCAATGTAACAGAGGTTGCCTTTGGTTAAGAGGTGACCTCTTTCTGGCCTGCACTTAGGTCTTAAAGCCAGGGAGACTTTGGATGAGGGCCAGGGCTTTTTCTTATAGATTAAAGGTCCTGGAGCCTCAGAAAGTCTGCTGCCAGGAAGCCAAACACCTTTTGTTAGATGTTGCTCCCCACCAGGAAGCAAATTTGCAGTTTGCCTAGACACTGCTGGGGCTTATCTGAGCTGCTTCCCCAGGAGCAGATAGATGTTCCGATTGCCTGGAGAAAGATGCTTGAACAGGGTGGCTGACGGAAAGGAGCCGGTGGGGTTCAGGGAATTACTGTTTGATCTCCAGAACACGTGTCCCAGTGACAGGCATGGTGGCATGTACTAGTTATCCCAGTGCAGAGGCAGAGACAGAAGACCCATCCAGACTGTTGGCCAGATAGGCTAGCCTAACTGTGAGCTTGAGGCTAATGGGAGATTTGGTCCCAAAGAAGGTGGATTGCTTTCCTGAGGATGCAAGCGGATTGTCTTCTGGTCTTCACACAGGCAGACACAAGTACACTCATTCACATATGGACACACACACCCCCAACACACCCCAAATCTGTAATGTTAGGCTGGGGAGTTGGATGTTGCCAGTGAACCAGAAGGAGCCTAAGGTGAGCTGGGCCTTGAGGGACTCCCTGGAAAGTGCAGAATCCACCAGGGGAGCTGACAGCTGAGGCACTGAGAAGGCTGTGCAGCCTTGGTCCTGGGCAGGCACTTGCTCCCATCTTTTCTTGGTCCACCCATAAAGTAGCAGTCCACAGAAGTCTTGGATCAGGCCTTATTTATTAAAGGATGAAATGGATGTAACATATTCTTGAATACAGAATGAAACGGCATCGCTGCCTCTTCATCCACCAGGGAGGGATAGGGAAAGGTCCAGACTAGGTCACTGAGCTGTGGCGTCAGGAGGCCTTCCACCATCCAAGGGGCCCCACGACCCTCTCCCTCATTCTTAAAGCTTCAGGTAGCCTTAGAGAAGACCACACCCATCGGGCCAACCTGCTCCATTTCATTGGTCATTAGACCAAATGGCCAAATTCCCACAACACACCCACTCAGTCCTGTGCATCCCTTTTCCTTCCAGCCTGGACAAAGAAGACATGGAGTTTCAGTCAAATGAGGATGATGAAGATGAGGAGAACCCTGGCGGCATCATTGGACGCTTCTTAGGGCTGCAGTCCACTGATCACCATCCTCCCAGGACAGATTCAAAGACCAAACTATTGTCCAAGAAGGACCCCTACCTCGAGGGCCATAAGGCCAAGCAGGAAGATAATGCCTGGAAACTTAAGGGTCTGGATACCTTCAGGGCCACTCCACTGTTTGAAAGGCCAGGCTACCACAGTGCCCCCCAGACACCACTCAGCCATACTCCCATGGTCTTCCCTCCTGAGCAGTCAGCGGCCTCCAAGCCTTACTTAGTCACAGGTATAGACACTAAAAACAAAAACCTAACACCCATGACTTCTGAGACCAAGAACACTTTGTTTTATAGGTTTATTTTTACTTAATATACGTTGTGTAAGTCTTTGAGTATATGCCACATGTGCTGGTAACCCTGAGGCCAGAAGAGGGTGTTTGATCTGCTGGAGCTGGAGCTATAGGCAGCTGTGAGCTGCCGGATGCAGGTCCTCTGGAAGAGCAGGAAGTGCTCTTGACTGCTGAGCTATCCCTCCAGCCCCACCAAGAACACGTTTGAATTGCTCCTAGGTGATGGGCATTCCCGAGAGCACCAAACAAAGAGGAAAACTGTGGAGTTTAACTTGAACATTCCGAAGGAGAGCCCCACAGGACGTACTAGAAAACACCATTTGGACCAGGGGCCAACCAACACACACACTACACGGAAGGAGCATGTAGAGCCCCATGCCACCTTGGAAAACAGGTCTGTCCACCTGAACCAGGAGCTGTATCCCCCATGCCTGTGACCCCAGTTTCCCAAGATTCCATTATTGCTGAGGGGTGGGGGAACTTATGTCCCTACACTAGGGGGTGTTATTAACAGCCACCTTGGCAAGAACCATGTGATGGGAGGCCTTTTGCCCACTTCACCTAAGAGCTTGACATCAGCAGAAACACTTCCAGAAAAGTAAAACTGCACTAACAGAATGCTGAAGGGAGCGCTATCTTGGGGAAGGGGGCAGTTGGCCACACTGTTTAGTTTTTGCAGGGATGGATGGTACCACAGAGCCTTGAGACAGACCTGAGACTCTAGCTAGGCTGTAGCCCAAGGACCAGCCTTACTGCTCTATCAGCTGGATGGCCAACACTTGCCTACAGCCCATACCCAAGCACTTATACTTCTTTTCAAGGCACTGGCCATAAGGTCTCCTGGGATTTGGGACTTTGGGGCCTTATTTAATACTTCCCAAAAAAGCCTAAAAGCTAGTTATTTCTCTTTTACATTTCTTGGACACTTTTGCCCAGTTAGAAACATTCCATCCGCACACTGATCACATGGGGAGTCCTAACTTCCACACTTCTCCATTCTTGGGTTCATTTGTGATCAGAACATCCCCCTTTTTTTGTAAATGGAAATAAAAAAAAAGGGCAACAACAATTCCTATCTTGCTTCTGGGGCTGGACATTAACTTTTATAGATCACCTGGGTATGTTTAAGACCAGTTTCAACCTTTGTCCTCATAAATCAAGCACCTTCCCAACTCATGCTGGGAACTTTCTCAAATCTTCCACAGGGATGAAGCTGGCACCTAACCTGTTTCCTAAGACTGATGCTTCATGGCCTGGTCCTCACCTGCAGGAATGCCAGCAGGACACTGACCCAGTCAGAGGCACACAGCTGTGTGAGACACCCAAGAGTATGTTCCCATGACAGTCTGGCAAGTAATTCAGAACCAGGGGTGCTGAGTCCTGTCTGACACACCTGTGTCTTACGGTCTTTCCCAAACTAAGGAGCTTAATAAAGACAAGTGTTCTTTTTAGTTGTTTCGGTGTCATTAGAGTAACAGTGACACCAACAGCGACACAGCTGGAAGCTGACACACCTTCAATCTCAAAGACCGCACAGCTGGGTACCAAAATTCTTTATTTGAAGAAATGGTACAAATTAAAGAACTTAAGCGGATGTTTTGGTGCGACTTTTAGAAAAGATACAGGCAGCCCGACATGCATGCACGGCCTCAGTGACCAGTGAAGTCACTGGTGGCTTTGGGGAAGTCAGCTCAGCTGTCATCACTGTGTCCCAGGGTGTGCTTGTCAAAGAGATATTCCGCCAGGCCGGCTTCAGGGGCTCCCATCTTGCGGAGGTTGGTCACGTGGTCACCCAGTTCCTTGATGGATTTCACCTGCTCGTTCAGGTAATGGGTCTCAATGAAGTCACACAACTAGGAAAGAGGACACAGGAGAAGGTTATTGGCCAGCTCTCCCAAGCCCCGTGGCAATGACTCCCTCCATTCATGCCCCGTGTTTCCCACACTCACGTGGGGGTCATTCTTGTCAGTAGCCAGTTTGTGCAGTTCCAGGAGTGACTGATTCACACTCTTCTCCAAGTGCAGTGCGCACTCCATCGCATTCAGTCCGTTCTCCCAGTCATCCCGGTCTGGTTTCTGAATAGAACATTCGGTCAATTCATCTGCAGTCTCTACCAATCCACCCGCAGTAAACGCCTCACACCGAACCACCATTCTCTGCCCCAAGTTTCCTCTGACAAGGTGTCCCCGGAACATGCTTGCTCACTGCTGGGTGCCAACTCTGGTATCAGTATAGAGCTAAAAAAGGGACAAGGGCAAAAGCCCAGCGTCGCCTCATTTTCTGAGTAAGGGTTAACTGCTCATGTGAGGCACCCCTAGATCTTCTGCTCACCTTGATATCCTGCAGGAAGATTCGGCCACCTCGTTGGTTCTGTAGCTTCATCAGTTTCTCAGCATGCTCCCTCTCCTCGTGAGATTGGTGGAGAAAGTATTTGGCAAAGTTCCTCAGAGCGACATCATCCCGGTCGAAGTAGCAAGACTGAGAGTAGAAAGAGTATGTGTTGTGGGGTTCCCGCAGCGAGGCAGGGCTATTTGCAACCCCCCTCGGCCTTTCTGAAAGTACAGGGAGGAGGGGAGGAGGGGAGGAGGGGAGCAGGGGAGGACTTTGGGACTTGGCTTCAGCAAATGTCCTATGGTTCTGTATTAGTGCAGAGGAAAAAAAAATCCCGCCCCCCCAGACAGGGTTTCTCTGTGTAGTTTTGGTTCCTGTACTGAATCTCACTCTGTAGACCAGGTTGGCCTCGAACTCAGAGATCCGCCTGCACCTGCCTCTGCCTCCCGGGCGATGAGATTAAAGGCTTGCGCCACTACCGCCTGTCGGGTAAAAAAATTTAAGCCAAGGCTTAAATTAAATCTACTTGTCTGAGGAGAGTGCTAAAGTACCCTGCACTGGGAAGCCATTTTTCTCCTCCTTCACAAATCACGTAAAAAAAAAAAAAAAAAACAGCTAACATAGACCTGTCTCAAATCTATTTGGAACACACTTATTTTTGGGTAATTTGCATAAACACAAGGCAATCAAAGGGTGATTCTCTCTACACTGCCCCAAACCTGTTTTTTCAGAAACAGATTAGTGCACGGAAAACTTCCTTGCCCAGCAACTGATGGTGGGCTTTATCCAACAACTATCTATTGCTTCTACTAGTAAGCCACAACTCTCTAATGCAAAAACCGACACAGTACTCTGGATGCCTTGAAGGGGCACGGTCGGGTGATGCTGAGCCTGCAGAAGGGAAGATTTCTAGAGATAATGTTTCAATACAAGTGAGGCTCTGTGATAAGCAGAGCAGAGAGGTGGAGACCGCTGCTTAAGACAGGGTCAGGGTAAGTTCACAAGAGATAAGCCTCTTTGCACCGGGTCCCAACGCTGCCATTCGACACCATGACCAAGCAGACCCGCCATACTCAAGGGGAATTGGAGCTGGATGCATACCGAAGCAGAGAAGTCTGCAGGTCACGTGATCGGAGAGGAGCGGGCAAAAAAAAAAAGGCATCTAACTGCAGGTTTGATTGGACGGATTGACAATTGTGCAGCCTTAAGACCTCAAGGAACAGGGGTGTGTGTGACGACGCGCCTGGTCTATGCAAGAGTCCCAAGGGGCTAATAGCTCAGACTTGCCTCGTCAGGGCTGCCCTGGGAGAGAGCCGGAGCAAACTCCATTTTCCTGAAGGGCGCTGGGAGGCCTGCGGCTGGCCACGCCCCAACCCGTGCCCCATCTGCTCCCCTAGTGGCCCCGGGGTGAAGCCGCGCCCGACTCCCGCCCCGCCAAAGGCCAGGCCGCGCTCACCATAGACAGATAGACGTAGGAGGCATACAGTTCCAGGTTGATCTGGCGGTTGATGGCAGCCTCTGAGTCCTGGTGGTAGTTCTGGCGCACTTGCGAGGGAGACGCGGTGGTCATGGCAGCGGCTGGGCGAGGCGCGGTGGCGACGCTGGAGCGGCGAAGCGACGAAGTTGCAAAGGGTTCTGGATCGGAGCAGCCGGCTGGGGTCGGAAGGGTCGAGCGCCGGGTTCCGTTCAAGCACTGTTGAAGCAGGAAACCGCGGCGACTCTGGGCGAGAACGTCTGGCGCAGACGGCCAGCGAGCAGTACTTATAGCGGGAGCCCGCGTCAGGCGCGTCCTGGCCAATCAGCGTCGCGGGCCGCCGAGACCCGCCTCTTCCGGTGGGCGTGTTGCCCAGACCCTCAGGCGCGGGCGGGGAGGATCTATGTGTGTGAGGCTGCGCAATGGGCACTGATCCTCTCTGCCAAGAGCAGTGCCTGGCAACCAGCAGGCTGTTCCTGTGCCCCGGGGCGGGCGGTAGTTGGCTCCAGCCCTACTGCAGTGGCATCTGGGTCCTTGGAATCCATGGGGACAGAGGGTGCCGAGGAGGGTGATTTTCAAGCCCCATAGGACATCCCTTAGCTCAGTACGTGTTGTTAAATCGTGACGTACGTCAGGCAGTGACTTCGTCTTACAAATAGGAAAATGGAAGCGTGGTGCTGTAGGTGGCGAACGAGTTATAAGTTGGACTGGGAAAGACCAGCTTTCTCTCCTCCAGAGTCTATGCAGAGAAGCGTAAAAGAGGAGTAGGGGGCCTATTGGGGAGGAAGGAGTTCGGGTCTGCCCCGTCATTCTGATTCAATCACTCAAGGCCTTTTGCTGATAGCAAACATGGCTCTCTGGACAGTTGGAAAAAACAAAGGCTGGGCGGGCGTTTCTCCTAAGAGCAGGGACAGCCTTCTATGGGGGAATCCTGGGGCCGAACGATCTAGGTTTCTGAGAAAGTCCCTGGTGATGCTTAAAATTAAGAGAGGTCTCTGAATTAGGAAAGAAAAGGAGAAGCGACCTGCGTGTGTCTATTTCAAAATGGTCTCCTTTATCTTTCTCAGTAACCTTGGGTTTGTCCTTGGAGAAAAGCTGGTGGGGCTGAATGGCGGGTGACAGGTGCATGAAACCTTGGAAGGACAAGCCAACTGTGTGTGTCTGGAGTTGTAACCCGGCTTCAAAATGGGTGTGAATTCTTAGGTAGTAGAACTAGAGGTTAGCCACTGCATCTAGCTAGGCCCTACCATTTATGTCTGCTACCCTCAGTCTAGTCTTTTGACACAGGTGGGAGCCCCGCAGAAGCTTTTCCAGATACTCAAAGCTGGAAGCCGGACTTTTCAAACATTTTGTTGTTACCATTTTTGAGACTATGTTAACAAGGTTACTGTACTGGCCGGGGACTCACTATGTAACCCAGGCTGATTCGTGATTCTCCTGCCACAGTTTCCAGAGAGTTGGGATTACACCCCCTCTCCCCTTTTAAAGTAGTGTACTGAAATACTGCATTACTGATAGTATTTATTCTTTTGAAACAAACGTGTGTTGCTGAAATCAGGCAAGATTTCAGTGGTACTCTAGCTACAGTATGCTGCTGAATAAATATCCTAGCGTCAAATTTCAAGAAGACCCTAAGACAGTGATACTGATATAAATTTGAGCCGGGCGGTGGTGGTGCACGCCTTTAACCCCAGCACTCAGGAGGCAGAGGCAGGGGGAATCTCTGTGAGTTCTAGGCCAGCCTGGTCTACAGAGCAAGATCCAGGACAGGCACCAAAACTAAACAGAGAAACCCTGACTCATTAAACATAGAAACCCTGACTCAAAAAACAAAAACAAACAAACAAACAAAAAAGTGGAGGGAATAGCTTATGTGCAGGTGTGGAAATGCTTGACCTATTCCAGGAACCTTAAGGAAAGTATGTTTGTTGGCCTGGAAAACAAAGTACATGTTGGAAAGTGCTGGAAAGAATACAGTCAGATTGGTGTGCCATAAAAAGTCATTAAACTTTACGCTGCAGGCAACATGGAGATACCATATCCATTTGTTTTTAGCCACTGTCAGGAAATGTGATGAATGATGATGTGGTGTGGGGGGAGATGATATCAAACATTTTCACTTACATCAGCAGTATATACTCCAAGCACCAAGTAATAATATTAACAACAACATGAGACAGAAGAAAGCAGTTACTGTGATAAGGAGGTGCTATCTTCCTGAAGGGTCAACCTCCATATTACGATAGTCAGCTCTAAACCTGTAATTCAGCACAGTCCGAAGTGTGAAAAATGCGGTGTTTCCATGGTAGGGTATGATTCTGAAATTCATATGGAGTCAGTGGACTAGCTGGTAAACCTTTGAGGAAAACAAAGGCTATCAGGGAAGCTTTGCTTGAGATATCTATTGGGATACACACACACACACACACACACACACACACACACACACACACACTCTTGTTATATTACAATAAAGTATGGTACTGGCACAGAAAGATGAGATCAACATCTAACTATGCCCACCCACGTGTGTATGGGAACTGGATATAAGTTAAAGCCATGCCTTTCAAATTAGGGAAGAATGGGTTTAACCAATCATGTTGACACAGTTGTCATGTGGAAAAAAATGAATCATTCTGTATTTAAAAATACCTTCCAGATGAATTAAAAATACAACCCTTAAAGTTGAAATCTATAAAATTTTAAGAAAACTGTTAAGAAGATTATCCAAATTTGGAGTAGGGAATGTTCTTTTGAGTCTGTCAAAAGTTGGCAGGTTTGAAATGCTTAAAAATGAAAAGGATTTAGATAAAGATATTTTAAACGAGGTTAACATAGAAATGGTGTGTTAGGCTGGTGGTATTTATAGAAAGGATGAAGGTCAAGAGCCAAAACATCTATGTACACTTGTGTAATATATGCTTTTTTCTGTCTTGGGGATGGAACCTAGGGCCTGGGGCAGAATAACCAGGTGTTCTACCACTAAAGTACTCATGTTGCAGTCCGTTCTTTCTTTTTATTTAAAGATGATCTCGCCAGGCGGTGATGGCGCACGCCTTTAATCCCAGCACTCGGGAGGCAGAGGCAGATCTCTGTGAGTTCGAGGCCAGCCTGGTCTACAAAGGGAGTTCCAGGAAAGGCTCAAAGCTACACAGAGAAACCTTGTCTCGAAAAAACCAAAAAAAAAAAAAATAATAATAATAATAATAATAATAATAATAATAATAAATATTATTACTTTTATTATTTATTATTACTGTATTGTCTAGGCTACTCTTGAAAGCCTAAGCTCAAGAGGCCCTCTTTAATTCAGCCTCTCTAGTGCCCAGACTCCATTGTATCACTGCACCAGGTTATGCGATATCTGTATTAATCATTCCTTTTTAGACGGACTGTTTGGTTGACTTCCCTACTACTGTGGATTGAAAGCTCCAGGCAGGAAGGCATTTTTAGCACACCCAGTCCTTTGCAAGGTGCTAGTGATTCGGTGCTTGATATTTGTCTCTTGAACAAATGAATGCATTTTGTGTGGAGTTTGGATTCCAGTCAAACAAGAGGGCTGGGTACCAGTTGGGAGACAGCTGCCATGGTTTTTCACGAGAGTAGGAAACAGAAAGCAGAAGAGAGATTATGGAGAAGACAGGATGAGGTGAATGATTGGATATTGTGTGGTTTGGGAGGTGGGGAGTGGGTACCAGGCCCTCCAGTTCTCAGGCCTGGCCAGCTGGGTTGCCACAGCCCTGCATGGTACCAGAGAAACACAGGAGAAGCACAAGTTTTGGGGAAGGCTGTTGGGAAAGGTCAGCTTGGTTTTGGACTGGGTGTGCTGGGTCTCTAAGACTCCCAGGTGAACAGAAGCAGTATAAAGTTAGACTCTGAAAGGAAGTTTGGCCTGCCACATCAAGTAAGTTGTGTGAATCAGTATTGGCTCCGTGCTTGTTAAGTACTTCAGTGGTAGTTACAGTAAACAGCACAGCAGACCAGCAACAGGGTGTTCTGTGGAAGGTCACTAAGGGAGGAGGAGGGCTTGAAGGGAAATGGGAAGTGTGTGAGCACCCTTGCTCGGGTCCGGTTCCCACCTTTTGGAAGCAGTGGGTGCCAGAACTGCAGTATCCGAGCCTCCAGATTCTGCAGCTGTGGCCGGGTCTTTGGACCTTTGTTGACTAGGCTTCAGCTTCCCCCACCCCCATGCTGCCTCTACTCCTCGTGACTTTGAGGAGGGAGTTTGGCTAGCTGCCCAGAACAAGCTGAACAGTGGCCTCCTAGAGCCAGGAGCCACAGAGCAAACACAGGCCCGAAGAGAGGCAGGCCCCTCTGTTCTGTGGAATACTAGCTTGGTTCAGAGGAGGAGGTGGGGGTGGAGAAACCTTGTGGTGGAGGGTGGTTGTTCCACCGTGACTCAGCACTCTGCGCCTCCTGAGGGGTTGAGCTCCAAAACTGCTTTGTCATGGAGGGGCAGGGCAGTCTGGAAGGCGGGGGTTTTGCTGTGGGAGAAAGGAAGTGGGGAGAGGGAGAGGAGCAGGAGGGAATGTGTGAGGGCTCCCCATTTCCCCATGGGACACAGAAGCTGCACCGAGAATAAAGAAGAATAAAGAAGTCTGGATCACCCTGCTGGCTTGCATGATATTCTTACCAGAAAGGCAAAGTGCCCTTCCGTCACTTGTGGGGACTTCTCCTCAGATAGTGGGACTCTTTCCCTTCTAGTGATTGCCCCTGTGCAGTTACAGCTGCTGAGGACGCCACATCCAAAAAATCTTAGACATTTGGTACATTAGGGTCCAGGGGACACTAGAGTTCACAAATCACTTTACTTTGTAGGGCAGAAGGTGAGGCTTCCTCAGGGAAATAGTCACCGTCTAAAAATGTGGAGCAGAGTATTCGATGGAACACCAGGGCGATCACTCAACGTCATGTGATCATTATGTGAAGGGTGGAGCAGAGTATGCAGTGGAACACCAGGCCATCACTAAACGTCATGTGATCACCAAATGTGTGGTGAGTGTGTGGCCACAGTGTGCAAATGAACTAATGTCAAGTGAGAAAGCAGGGTCCCAAAGAGTTCCTGCAAGTCAGTTACCGGGGAGGATCTTCAGGACTGGAAACAGGTAAAGGCCGGGGATAATAGGCTGAGGACTCTCCAGACCCAACAGCCAATGTTGCAAAAGTATGGGTTTCCCTGAGAGTTGTGCAGGAAATTCTGACACTTGCAAAAGCACCACTCAGCTAGATTCTGGTACATTCTAGATGAAGCAACTGTCATTCAGAGAGTATGTCCTTCAATCATTTCTTGAAAATTCATGAGGCCATGTAGACTTAAAAGTCTA